CTCAAGTGGTAGAGTGCTAGCCTTGAGCTGAAGAGCTGAGGGACAGGCCCAGAGTTCAAGCCCCACAACCAAAAAAAAGAAAAAAAAATTCATTAGAAAGAACCATGGAATAAATACATTTGTAGAGTGAGTTTGTGAGTTTGTAGAATGCAGATTCAGGAAGTAACTCAAAAGAGGAAATCCCACCTCTACAGACACATTTGGAGCTATACTATCTGGACTAACAGGGAAGCTAGAAATAAGCCCAAGTGTACAATAATAACACCATAAAGTAGATTATGAGTCCATCACTGAGCAGGATGTCATTTTGCTATTGCAAATGACAAATTCCAGATGTTTCCACATACAGGAAAATAAATGAGAGAACAAGTAGTGAGTGGATAAAAAGAAAGACACACCAAAGCAATGATGTAATGATTAATTTGGTAATATAGATATTCTTAAAATAGAGTTGTAGGTTAGCGATTACGTTATGGTAAATGTTTTTTCTGTAGATTTTAGGAATGAACTCAGGGCTTAGTGCTTGCTAGCCAAATACTCTGTCACTGAGCATTTCCCCTCACCTTTTACAAATTTTGTTTGGAGACAAGGGCAAAGGTGGGCCTCAACCTTGTGATCCTTAGCCTCCTAAGTAGTGATAAATAATTCTTCAATAAAAACTAAAGATAACTTATTGTTATGTAAGGTCAAGATTAATGCTAAAGTTTTGTTCTTTACCTTTTTGAAAACTCATTGGAAATATAAGATATAAATTTGTTATTTATTTATGACATTTTAGTATTAAAAACTAAATGTTACCATTATTGTGTACATTCCAAGAATCCTCTATAAAAGCAAAGTCACACACAAATAAAAGTTGTGGCTTTAAAAAAAATTCCAATGAGGGTCTGGGAAGGTGGCTCAGTGGTAGAGTGCTTGCCTCACATGCATAAAGCCCTGGGTTCCATTCCTCAGCACCACATAAGCAGAAAAACCAGAAATGGCGCTGTGGCTCAAGTGGTAGAGTGCTAGCCTTGAGCTGAAGAGCTGAGGGACAGCACCCACACCCAGAGTTCAGGCCCCACGACTGACAAAAAAAAAAAAAATCCCAGTGAACACATTTCACCAAATAATAATATGAAGAGCACAGGCTTGGTACTAAAGTAAATGAGGACTCGAATCTCACATCTTTGAGGACTCAATCCTGAGCTGTTGTGTAGAAGTTCTAAACTGATTTCAGAAACAGTCTCTAATTATCCTTAGGGCCACCCTTTCTAAAATTTCCATGACTACTCTGCTTCTTTGGATTTAAGCAGAAAGCAGACTGCTCTCCTAATGTTCATGTAGCCAAGGACCCTTGGTATGTGGGTCATGAAGTGCTTCTGCCTGGAAACCTACAGTTTCTTTCTCCAGATCACTTTCATTCTTTTCTTTTTTCTTTCTTTCTTTCTTTCTTTCTTTCTTTCTTTCTTTCTTTCTCTCTCTTTTTCTTTCTTTCTCTTTCTTTCTCTCTTTTCTTCTTCCTCTTCCTCCTCCTCCTCCTCCTCCTCCTCTTCTTCTTCTTCTTTTTTGGTCACTTGTGGGGACTTTCATTCATTTCTTATCCTTCTGCAGAACTACACATTCAAGGCTCAGACAGAAATGGCATGACTACTCTGCAAATATCCGTATGTATTTATTGAGCCTTTCAGAGATGCATTAATGAACAATGAAATTAGCAAGAAACTGGAAAGAAAGAGTAGCTGATCAAACAAAAAACCTGGATAAAGAACTAAATGGATCGTAAACCTTCAAATATTTGGAAGTTAGATGGACAAATATTTCCTATATATCTACCTTTAAAATGATGAAATATTTTATGTATACAGAAAATTATAGATTCTATTATAATGCAAAACTGTGTCCATCATCCAGCTTCAATATACCTTAACACTTTGGTCTTTATCATAAAAATCGAAAGAAAATGTTTCAGAGAGTTAAAACTTACTGGGCATGCCTCCCAATTTCATGCCTCTTTCCTTTTTGCAAGGTAACCAGCATCCAGATTTAGGCATTCATCATTTTTACATCTTATTGTGTATGTTTATGATTATAAAACATGTGATGTGTTTTCACATTCTAAAATTTTATAGTAAATGATCATAATTTGTATATGTCATTCTGCATTTGCTCATCAGCTTTCATTTGCTCAGCACTGTATTTCTGAGATCTATCCATAATGTTTCAAGTAGCTCTAGGTTAAATTCATTACAGTATCCGATGACTGTCCACGTTTAATTAAGCTCTCCTTGTGCTAAGTGTCATTGAGAAGCTATGTATGCCTCATCCCATGCCACAGCACTCTCGCACTGAGCCTTTGTACATATTCCCTCCAATAGCACACATGGTTTGATTTCCCTTTTCTCAGTATTGAACACTGACAGACTCTTCTACATAATATAAAATGGTATCTCATTATTTCAGTTACCATTCCTTTTTTTGTTTATTGTTTATTTCATCCATTTATTGGTCATTTAAGATTTATATTTTCCTTTCATTTATTTTTAGCCATTCTTTACATACTACGTGCTTATATTTTGTACTTTATAACAATTGCAAAGGATTTATGCCTACTCTATTCCTTGTCCTTGAATCTTACTTACATTCTCTTAGTTTTCTATTCATTTATTTATTTTTGTGTAGGGCTTGAACTCAGAGCCTCGGTGCTGTTCCTGAGCTTTTTCACTCAAGGCTAGTCACAGCACCATTTCCAGTTTTTTGGTGGTTAGTTGCCTGGTTTTAAACCATGATCCTCAGAGCTCAGTTTCTGCATAGCTGGGATTATAGGCCTAAGCCACCAATGCCTGGCTTAGCTTTCTATTTAGATGTATTTTGACTTATTAATCTGCTATGTATGTTTGGAATTCAAGGATCTTGCTTTAGGAATTATTCCTACCTTAAGTCAGAAAGCATTCTCTTGTATTTTCTTTTTTCTTTTTTGCTTATGTGGTGCTGAGGAATCGAACCCAGGGCCTCATGCATGCAAGGCAAGTGCTCTACCACTGAGCCACCTTCCCAGCCCTCTTGTATTTTCTTTATGTGGTTCAAAGTTTCACAAGCAACCAAGGATTACACAACTTACATGGCATTTTGTAGAACAATCTTTCTCCTGCACCATCATTAGTTTGCAAGTATTTACTATCCAAGGACCAGTCAATGTGTGTAATGAAACTAAGGGACTTGTTGCATTCTCCTATTTTCTTATACCGCTGAGCAACAGCATAGACATCCACTGGGCCATCATTGGATCCCACCGCAAGGTAAGAACCATCTGGAGAAAATTTCATTTCATGAATGACTTCTTTTCGATCTTTGATATGAACCACTTCTGTCATATCTCTGAAAGAATAAAAAGCAAAGTAATAAGCAGAAATCTAGAAATAGAAAACTCAAGTCTTATTTTAAAAAATATATATCAAGCCAGAAGTAGCACTGTGGCTCAAGTGGTAGAGTGCCAGCCTTGAGCTGAAGAGCTGAGGGACAGCACCCAGGCCCAGAGTTCAGGACGCACGACCATCCAAAAAATAAAATAAAATATATATCAGAAAAGTCTTTTGAAAGGAAGAGAAACCATATAGGAATTAAAAGAGTAACTTTTGAAAAGATATGACAGATTATTTAAAATTTATAGCCAGTGCATAAAAATGAATAGTAAGCATTGGAAATGATATTGGGGGCTTTCAATAATATAAGTATAGAAAACTTTAATTCAATGAAGATTTTCTTTCATGTTCAACTCTTTGTTGTTGTTTTTTTCCCAAACTTTTTGTTTAAGAAATTGCAATTTGAAAAAAAAATTTTTGGGGTCTCCAAAAAGGGTTTTTTGGTTTTCTTTGAAAAATAACAGAAAGAAAAGAGTGGAAAAGCATAGCTCAAGTGGCAGAGCACCTGCCTAGCAAGCATAAGGCCCTGAGTTTCAACCCCAGTACTGCCAAAAATTATTTTAAAAATATGCCATGGAGAAAGATAAAATACATCAAGGTTGGCATAAACATAAACTATCTTTTACATATTAAAGAATAAGAAACTAGCTGAGAACTGTGGCTCACATCTAGTCCTATCTACTTAGGAGGGAGATCAGGTGGATCTAGGTTTGAGGCCAGCCTGAGCAAAAAGCTTGCAAGATCCCATCTTAACCAATAAAAACAGGGTAGGGTGGTGCACAGCTGTCATCCCAGCTATACAGAAAGGATTGAGTCTCAAATGGCCCGGCATTTTCCATTTGAAAATAACTAAAGCAAAAAGAGCTGGAGGGCATCATTCAAGTGGCAGAGCACCCACCTAACAAGTGTAAACCCAGTATTGCTCCCGGGGTGGGGGGAGAGAAGGCAAGAGAGAGACAGACAGACAGAGATAGCAATGGCTAACTTACTGGTGCAAAAAGGTAAGTCCAAAAAGCAGAAGAAAATTACTTTTTTCATTGTTGAACTTCTATGTGATCATTTAATTTTTCACGATGAATGATCAATAATGAATAAACTGAACCACTGAAGTAATTTGTACCTTGTAAGCATTTCTGCTTACATCTGAATGCTTAGTGAGGTTGCTTTTTCCCTTCCTTTTTTCCCTTATAAGAGAGGATTATGACTGACAGCTCCCCTGAACTGGAAAAGACAGTTCCATCAACACCAGCACAAACTGAATGAATCAATCATAACAAGTATTTGCTCCCATACGATAATCCCTTATACCTGCTATCATTTACTAATATATTATGGTGTACTAAAATGCCATAAAGCAGATGTGTAGATTTGTTTTGTTTAGTTTTTGTTTTTCTTTTCTTTTTGGCTTGGAAACTCCATCAGAAAAAAAAATCTAGTAATTAGCCATCAGTCAGCAGAGAAAGGAAGTGTTGCCCACCAACTTGGTAATGAGTTTATGTGTAGCTAGTAATGAAAACTTTAGTATAATAAACTCTGCCAAGGGCATCCTTCAATGCTGTACAGAATTCTCTGCAAAATATGCGGCATTTACTTTACAGCTGCAATGTTTTTTGGTAATTCCCAATGTGTGAGCCAACAGAACAACTAATGTATTCAGAGGAATTACAAGGGCAGGTCATAATTTTTGTTCAGGAAAAATAACACAGGCATTGCCAAATAGAAAATATTCCACTTATTATCAATTATGGGAAGAAGAAATCTTATCCAAGTTGACCTCTAAAAACCTAGTGCTCTTGCAAGCTGCTTTATTCTTTCTTCCTCTCTTCTTGGCTTAACAACAGAGCCCACAGTCTCTTATCGGAAGCCCTTGGGATCAGATGTGTTTGGGAATTTGTTATGCATTGGCTTTCAGAAAAGTTCACAGATAGTGTGAACAGAGGTGGGGGAAGCATCTTGTATCAAGCATAGTATTTCTTGCATTAAATCACAAAACATATCATTATTCCTTCTAAGACACTGAGAGACCATGAACGCCTCCCATCAGTTCGCAGGGTTAGGCTCTGTCTCAGATAAATTACCAAAGATATTGAATTTTCTTAGTGCTTTAGAGACTTCAGAATTACAGGTAAGGGACTGAGGATTTATAGCCTTCCTATTTGAAGGAGTAAATATATGTTTCCTAAGGCCCTCCTGGACTTGAACTCAGGGCCTGGGCACTGTCCCTAAGCTCAAGGCTAGTGCTCTACCACGTTGGGCCTCAGCTTCACTTGCAGATTTTAGGTGGTTAATTGGAGATATGAGTATCACCGCCTTCCCTGCCCAGGTTGGCTTCAAAGCACAATCCTGAGCCTCCTGAGTAGTTAGGATTGCAGGCATGAGCTACCAGCACCTGGTGATAATCTTAAATTTTAACAAGAGCATCTCTAGATACTATTTTCAGTCTGGATACGCACCTGACCCTGAGAACAATGAAAGAGCCATCCTTCATGCCCAGAGCCAACTGAGATCCATCTGGGCTGAAGGCCACACTTCGAACTGCTTCCTCCATGTTACAGCGGGCAATCAAGGCATGGTCGGCCAAGCTCCACAGCCTAAGCACAAGAACAAAGTAGAAACAAAAGCAAACCAACTTCCTCTCATTGTATTAGCCAACCAAGGCCAGAGGTCTACCTATCTCTCAGTAACAGCACTGTTCTACATTTCTTGCCAAGGGACCTGGGAAGGTGTTCTGTCCATCTTTGGGTCAGTTTCAACATTTGAAAAAAACAAAGCAAGAAATAGGAAATGGAGGAATAGTTCTAAAGTTTTTGACATTTGTGCCACGTATGATGGCTCAGCACTTGGGAGACAGAGGCAGGAAGATCTCGAGTTTGAGGCCAGCTTGGACTACATAGTGAATTCCAAGCTAGTATGAACTACTCAGAAAGATCATTATTTGGGGGGAAAAAAGGAGATGAGATTCACAGAATAAGAAAAAGATAAATATTACTTTACAATCTTAAGCAGCCTGGTAACTGAGAAGAGCCTCCAGTGGTACTGTTGTCAGTTTATAAACAGCCTACACGTGTGATTTTCTAGTAGTTGGCATCTAAGCACACATACACTGAAACGTGTTTGTGAGCCTCCCTGGAAATAAAGCATATGTGGATTAAGCAATAATGAAGGGAACCCCTTCTCCAGGATGGGTCCAAAGCTGGCTGCCATGGCTGTCATTCATAAGTCCCCTGGGTGCTCTATTGCTAATAGGCCCACCACTGGTGAAGGCCACACTTTGTAGTGCTGGTGGCCAATGAGCACAGCCACTTCCGGTGGAATGGCAACCCAAAGCAAGTGCAGCAAACATATAGCTGTCTATATATGGTCCCAGCTACAGAATACGGAATCCAGGCACCCCAAACTAAGTGAACGCCCACAAAGTACCTTTAAGTTACAATACCTTGTCATGGGTTTCCATGGAAGTCACAATGCAGTATCTAATCTGTCTGCTAGAGAACTTTTCTTAAGACAATCCTAACATACAAACAACAATGTCTGCTGAGGGGCCAAGAACCTAGAGAACAGAAGTGCAGGGGTGGATCACATGTCTCAATTTCCACAAATGTCCTTTGCCATCAGAAGAGTTAGGACATACCGCTTACATTTTGCAGTTGCACAGTGAGTAGTCTGCTGTCTCCTTAGGCAACCTGTACTGTTCGGCCTACAGCTTATGATATTCTCTCAATAACTCATCCATTATTTATAATCCCATGCTGTTTATAGCCTTGTACTATTTTAAGCAATGTAAGGTTTGCTTTCCTAGGATGAGGAAGCCATGGATCCTCAATAAATAGTATTATCCCTATAATGCCACCAAGTGAATCTTTCTCAAAAAATTATTACTTACCCTTCCATTTCAGTACTCAGTATGAAATCTCCTTTTAAAATTTAGCCAAGTTAGTGGATAAGGGGAATACTACAGGTTCCGGAAACCAGGACGCTTCAGGATGTTTCTAGTTCTCAGACTCAAGACAGTTCTTTTTATTTTTTTATTTATCTTTTTTTTTCGATCACGGGGCTTGAACTCTGGGCCTGGGCACTGTCCTTGAGCTCTTCAGCTCAACGCCAGCATTCTACCGCTTGGGCCACACCACCACTTCCAGTTTTCTGGTGATTAGTTGGAGATAAAAGTCTCACGGACTTTGCTGCCTGGGTTGGCTTTAACCATGATCCTCAGCTCTCAATCTCCTAAGTAGCTAGGATTACAGGTGTGAGCCACTGGTGCCTGGCTTCAACAAAAGCCAAGAGGCTGCCATGGAATTCTTCCATTGGGGATGGATCTGAATCCAGGGGCTGTTTTGGGAATGCTCGTATGAAGAAAAGAAAGCATGAAAAGAAGCAAGTGTTGAGAGGTGTATACAGCAAACACATATTTATGTTGTATAAGGAGACAGCTGGAGGTTTTTCCACAGATTTGGAGACCAACGAGGCTTTTGTGCTTGATAAGAAGTAACAATCAGAATGGAGTAAACCATGCATGATTAGATGCAAGAACCTCCAGAACAGGTGGAAAGCCAGGATCATCAGCCTCATTTATAATGTTCTATTTTAGCGGTTAAGTTACAGATGCAGTAATTGGTCAATTGATTAATCACCCTTTTCCCTCATTCTTGGGGCATTTATTGCTGGGCATATTTAAAGATAAAATAAATAATAAAATCCTGAAAATCAGTGTAATGGTGTTCATTTCAAACTTTTAAATTACATATTCATTGTTTCAATCATCCCAAGAGCCCGGGAGGCTCATTCAATCCAATATGGTGTTGTAACGCACACAGCAAGGGCTGCGGAGGCCCTAAGGAAAGCACATGTCTTCTCCAAGCCTTGCTTTCACTTGGAAGAACCATGTTCAAATCTCCCTCTGAGAGTTTACAAAGAAATAAATAATTCTCTGGTGTGCTGAAGACTTCTCTGGAAATCAGAAGTGAAGGCCTCATGAGGCATGAGTCTGACTGAACAGTGAGAGGACCACGCAGTCCCCAGCAGGGGGCTGAGAAGCTGAGCGGGGTGGAAATCTGCTCTTCTCACAGACCAGTGCACCTTGAATCCTTATCTTGAGCTAGAAAGGAGACTGGAGACCAGCCTAGACAGAAGTCACATATTTTCACTTCTAAGAATGTTTTCCTGACTTAAGATGAAGCTAAAGGAAGATAACGACAACAGTAACCTACCAAGAAACCTACACATGGTGAGCTAAACCTTCTCACCTTCCATCCTGTGGTTCATTTTATTTGGGCCAAAGAGAGTCAACGTCTCAAGGAAGTCAGAGCCTCTGAGGTCTCACCTGACAGAGCGGTCATCACTGCCTGTCACCGCCAGAGGCTTCTTGGGGTGCAGGGCCAGAGCCCAGAGCTCCCCCTCACAGTGGCCCTGCAGAATCAGCATTGGCTTGTCACGCTCTCGCACGATCACCTCAAATATCTCACTGTCCTGGGTCCCTGCCAGGAGACGGTCTGCTTTCCAGCACACGCTGCGGATGGAGAGGCCTGACAAAAAGAAGAAGGACCATTGCTTCAAGCCACGCGCAAATGAAAGGAAAACACCCAAAGTAGATACCCACTCAACAAACTCCAAGAGGCAGAGAACCAATGCCACCCACCGTTCTGTGCCAGTTACACACGTGCTGTCCCACATTTTGTGACTCTGTAAGAGTAACCGCTCTTTGTGGTCTGACTTAGGCAATCTGCATTTGACAGTATGACTTATTTTAAGTACTACTCCTCAAAATGAATAGAAAAGAACTAATCCGTCTTTAGGAATATCTAGCCTCCTTGAAGCAATTGCTTCAATCTTTAGGATAACATTGTACTTCAATTTCATGTAGATGATGCTTCAAGATGGGTAATTATCATATTACGTAAATTTAGTTCCTATCTGGTAAGAATCTAAGCTCATTTTGCTGGATAGACAGATGTATAATGTCCCAGAGATATGCAAATGAAACTAACTTCAATCTCGAAACACCATCAAACATTTGTCGGTGAATCAACAGCATCCTTCCTAACAGCAGAATATTCCTTTTCAGAGCAGCTTCCACCTGTGTTGTATTTCATACCCTCTAGGGAGATCCTTGTTTGCTTACTTGAATTCTCATCTCCATTGCTTACTAGGCTCATTATTTACTGATTTACCCAGGGAATTTTCTCACAGATGAGTTAGAAATATATAAGCAATTCCATTTCCCTTGCCTTTAATGAAGCAAGGCTACAATATGCTTTGCCATCTAAGCTGCCTCCTTAGCAGACTCTGTTTGGGTAAACAAAGTCCCAGAAGCCCCAGAGACAGTCTTTACTCTCACTCTAGTCTCAATTCACCTAATGCCTAAAGGACAGTCCCTTGCTCTTTAGCTATGAGTTTTTCGCCTTGCAAAGTGTAGACTATAAGGTGATTGCATAATTTATCACCCAAATCTGATCCCTTATTGAAAGTAAAAGGAAACTAAAAAATTAAGTTTACATAATTTTTAAATATTTATTTATTGTCCTAGACAGTAGTTTTGTTATATGGAAAGATCTATTAAATAGTTTTATCCAAAATTTCAAAGTGAAGCCAGGTTCTGGTGGCTCACGCCTGTGATCTTAGCTACTCAGGATCACAGTTAAAAAGCCAGCCCAAGTAGAACAGTCCCTGAGACTCCATCTCCACAAAGCAAGGCTTGGGGAATGGCTCAAGTGGTAGCACACCAACCATGAGCAAGCAAGCCCAGTGAACACACAAGGCCCTGAGTTTAAGCTCTGGTCCCAGTTTTGTTTTGTTTTTTTAATTCAAATATTAAAGCCCATGGCTCACGCCTATAATCCTAGCTACTCAGAAGGCTGAGATCTGAGGATTGTGGTTCAAAGCCAACCCAGGCAAGGAAAGTCCATAAGAACCTTATCTCCAATTAACCACTAGAAAAACCAGAAGTGGCTCTGTGGCTCAATTGGTAGAGTGCTTGCCTTGAGCTGAAGAGCTCTGGACAGCGCCCAGGCCCAGAGTTCAAGCTCCAAGACGACCACCACCACCACCAACAACAACAAAATTCTAATAACATTATTGCAAGGTCAAAATTTAGGACAGAGGAATAGACAAAGCACAGAGAACTTGGGAACTAAAAACATTCTGTAGGACACTATAATGACAGATACATGGCATTATGCATTGATCCTCTATAACACCAAGAGCACCCCTCATGGGAACCATGGAGTGTGGGTGGTGGCATCCTGTCACGGAAACTGGTGGGACTGAGGCTGCGTGGGGGCAGGGCTGGGGGGGAATTCTTCCCACTCTATTTTCCTGTGGATGGAAAACTGCTCTAAAAAATAAAATGTTTTTCTTTTTAAATCTAGGACAAATGTTAAGCCAGATGGAATACTGGGACATCAGAAATCTAAGGACACTCTAAGTGAAATCCTCATCTGTGATCGCCAAGGGATCAAATGAGATAGTGCATTTAATGATCTCTTTTTAATTTTTTAAGGCACAAGGCTAGTTGTATATTGCTCTGAATTTGTCCCATGTCCTGAAGTGGGAGGAAGCCATGGGTGGGACTATTGTTTGCGCTTCCCACCCTGGGGAGGAAGCAAGCAGAGAAGCCTTGGCATCACTGCTTCAGATTCTGTCACTCAGGCCTCCCTGCAAGGCTCAGGACAGGCTTCTGAGGATAGGGTGGAAGGTGCAGCAAGGGTAGAACGCTCAGATGAGCACACAGGTCAGTGGGCAAGAGCCACTCTGTCCTGAAGCCATAGCAGCAAGCCTTTTGCTATAGTCCTTAGTTCCTTTCTGTCTTCTCTCATGGGTTTAGATCCCATGGTGAATCAACATTCTCCTAACCTCTTGTAAGAGGCTGACAGAAGGGGCTGAATTCACTGTTTTCCTAGCAGGCTTTGCATTTGCCCAGAATGTTATTACCGGAAGAGCAAGGCATTGTCCTTCAGCTATTAGAAAGTAAAGAGTCAATGATATTCTAACATCAGCAAGGAGCAACCCACCATTCCCGTATTTAATGTCTCCTTCCTCTCAGTAGAACAGCACTTCTGTGAGGACAAGTGCTTGCCACCTTCATTTCCTCTGTACCTTCAGTGCCTAGCACAGTGGCTGGCAAGTCATAGATGCTCAGTGAGAATTCTTGAGTGCAGGAAATAAAACATCAAAATCACAAACATTTCCTGAGTCCTTGGAATCACCAAGGAGTAAAACACTCTGTTCCTGTTATCAATGAGAACATTCAGAGAAAGGGGGATTTTACCAATTCTTATTGAGCACCTAGTATATGCCTGATACTGGAGCTCACAAAGAACAAGTCAGACTCCTACCTAAAGGCTATTTGCCTTTAAGAAGAGAATGGATATTTGTCAGTAGGCATGTGCATACCAAAACCCAACTAAAATGACATATATATATACACACACATAATATGTGCCCATATTTATCATAATATTTTAACTGTTATTGAGTGATCACACCACAGCCCTTCTGTAAGCCATCGATTGTTTTAAAGACACCATCACTTTCCAAGCAGGCTTGGAAGTTATAGCTTCATTGAACTCAAACCTACCAACCCTCCCTTGCCTTCTAAACCAAGTCTAGTCATCAAAACTAACTGGCTTGAGAACAGAAAACTCTCCCAAATAGCTGTCACTGTATTTGGCCCAAACTACACACATTGATTCTTTCCACAACATCCAATATGTTTACCCTTGTTTGAGTAAACAAAATCCACAAAACACAAAGAAATCAACAACCCATTATCTGGATTGGAAACGATTAATATTTTTAAACCTTTTGTCTTTTTTATCCCCCTTAAAGCAGCTCAGTATCAAACATGAATTAGTCAGTTCAGCCCAGCCTGACAAGTCATCCAAGTTAACCAGCATTCTGAATTTTGACTATACTCCAGGGGCTCCTGGCTTCCTCAGAGGAGCTTAGGTGCTCAGAAAGGAGAAGACTAAGAAATGAGAGGTCAAAAGGCAGCATGCGATGCTCTACCCTGTCTTGCTGTCAGGTCCTCACAACTGTGGGTTTTGTTGCTATCATTAAAGTTGGTGGTGGTAGTGGTAGTAGTAGTGTAGTGTGTGTGTGTGTGTGTGTGTGTGTGTGTGTGTGTGTGTGTACATGTGTGTGTATATGTGTGTTTGAAAGTACTTGGAAGCCAGGCACCAATGGCTCACGCCTGTAAAATCCTAGCTACTCAGGAGGCTGAGATCTGAGGATCACGGTTCAAAGCCAGCTGGGGCAGGAAAGTCCATGAGACTCTTATCTCCAATAAACCACCAGAAAACTGGAAGTGGCCCTGTGGCTCAAGTTGTAGAGTGCTAGCCTTGAGCTGAAGAACTGAGGGACAGTGTCCAGACCCAGAGTTCAAGCCCCATGACCAACAACAACAACAAAAAAGAAAGTACTTGGACTTGAAATCAGAGTCTGGAAATCTCTCTCTTTCTCTCTCTCTTTCTCGTTTTTTATTTTTTGTTGTTGTTGTTCATGGCTGGTCCACTACCACTTGAGCTATGCTCTAGTCCAGTTTTTTGCTGGCTAATTGGAGGTGAGAGTGTAGAGGAATTTTTCTGGCCAGTCTGGCTCCAAACATCAATCCTTACATATCAGCTTCCTGAGTAGCTAGGACTAAATGGCCCAGCACAATCCTTGTTTAATAGACTTCATATATACAAAGGCTTGCCGTGAAGTAACAAATACAACAGGGAAGCTTCACTTAGTAGAGACAATGAGGCTGGACGGACAGGTGTGGCTGAACATGAGGGGAGGGGTGAGAGGGTAGAGAGAGAGTCAGTGAGAGAGCAAGAGCGTGAGAGTTACCCAGACAGAGAGAGAGAGACAGAGGCAGAGACAGAGAGCGAGGCAGAGACACGGAGAAACAACAACACAGAGAGATAAAAGGCCATTTTTGTCATTTACCACATAAACTTAGCTGTGAATATTTTCTCTTAGAAACCAACATAACTGATCTTTTGTCAAGTCATTCATCTACCTGATGACAGCTACGGCACGGGTCCCAGCTGTACTCCCTTCCTCCTGTCTACGTAGTCTTGGTCATAGCCTCCCTGACACAAAAGTAGAAGACAGGAAATGTAACCAAGGGGTTGTAGCTGGGCTAGCTACGGCAGTCACTGTCTTGGGAAGTAACTAGCTCTCTTTGCTCCTTTATCTTTTGCTCTGGGTCAGGAGAATATAGGCTATTATTTGGAATATGGTTAGAAATCCTGCAATAACGAAGAGCTGCAGGAAAAGCTATCCTGGCTGTTAAAACCACAGAGGTGCTCTCTTCTTTTTGCAAAATTCATACTGCATATATTTTTGACAGTATGATGAGGTGGACACCAGGTCCTTCTTCAAAACGAGCTGGGAGAAATGTGGAGCCTCGGCCTGAGCTTGGTACACACACAGCCAGAAGGTGGCACCATAGAGCAAACCACCCATTTAAATCCAAAAGCCTTCTAAATCTAAAAACCTTTGTGCCCTGGTTTTGCTGTCAGACCAGAGAATAGAAAAC